AATTTACTCCACAATTATTTTTGCTAGGCATAGTTACTGATTGTGATACAAAGGAGGTTATATTGATGTTAAATTTGATTATAGCCGCAAGGCTGTTAGTAGGACAATACTGGAAGAAGGAATCTTTGCCTACAATGCAGGAATGGTTCCTTAAAGTGTCTTATTTGGCGGAAATGGCAAAGATTTCGGCTTTCTTAAAGGAACAAACGCAAGAGAAATTTCTTGCAGTTTGGGATAAATGGATAAAATTTATACAATTTAAATTGGATATAAAAAATATCACATAGCTTTTTCATAACTTTTACTTTTATATATATATACATATATCTCAGTGTTATATTTTCTTTTTTTTTATATAAATATATAACCTTTTTAATTCTTTTTTAATTAAGCCTATATTCTGCTCTGGGAAGCTCAGGGGGGGGAAGGGGGTGGGTGTTTTTGGGGCGGGTTGGGGAAGGGGACTTTTGTTATGTCATGTTTAGCTTTTTTGTATATGTTGTTTTTCGTTTTTGTATTGTTATTTTGTTTTTTTTGTAAAAATTTATAAAAATTTTCAATAAAAAAAAAAGAGTCCCTTCCATCAGGGAGCCATCGGCTTGCTCAAACCTCACCGGTTTGGAAAGCTGTTTTGCCCGTATGTCCATTTTCATGGCAAATGGCAGACTAATAATGCAGTGGGTGCAACCCAAATCAATTAGTAAGTTCAAGTCCATTTGTGTCCCAGACTTAGGGATTATAAGTTTGGCGGTCAGTTAAAAAGGCGGGATTTGTCAACTCACCATCGGGTCGTTCTCTCCTTCATCGTCGCTGTCAAAGAAGGGTAGAGCAGGGGCGGGTCCACCTGGAGTCCCGGCGTCCTCCTGTGGGGGGGGTGTAACCTGGGCGACAGGTTCCTGCATGAGTCGGTTGGATTTTTCTCTCGTTAGCCGCTGAGCAGGTTTCTTTCGCATTGCTGGTTCTGGTCTGCTCTACAGTCAGGGGTAGGGGACTAGAAAGGTGGCCACTCGATGTCCTCCTTGTCCACACCGGAAACACTTGAAGGAAGGGCGTGTAGATGGCCGGAGTCTCTCAGCCATTGCAATAGTTGAAGGCTTTCGTGGGGGTGATTGCTGCCTGGGTAGCTCTGGTTGGTGCTCGGGTTCATGTGGGGGAAGCTTCTTATAGCGAGAGCTTATCATCTAACTTCATGGCTGTCTGCTACCACTCCTGTAGCCAATCAGGTACTTCTCGATAGATGCAGGCCTGAGAGAGGTGATCGTCTAATCCCTCAATGAAGTAATGGATGAGGGACTGCTCAGCCACCCCTCTATTCGACCTGCTATCTTGCAGAATTCTCACACGTACTCCAGGGCAGGCCTCCCGGCTTGTTTTATTTTGTGAATTTGTCCTGCTGCTTTGAGACCAATGGATGGGTCCTCAAATCGTTCTCTCAGACTTAAGAGAAAGAGGTGGGGATCTTCCAATTTGGGGGCTTGCTCACTATATAAATTGTTCACCCATTCAGATGCTTCTCCCTCTAGGTTGGACGCAATGACATCGACCATGGCCCCTGGTTCCAGGTAGAGATAGGCCCAGCGATTTAAGTGAGAACACACTTGGTTGAGGAAAAAAATCAGCTTCTCTGGGTCCCGATCGAAGGTTGCTTTGAAGGGTGGTGCGAACAAAGGCTGCTGTGGGCCCCATCCTGCCTGCTGATCCAATGGCTGCTGGGCCCTCTGTAGTTGACGTGGTGCCTCCAGTTGCTGTTGGCCCCATCCTGGCTGCAGATTTATGCCCAAGGGTTGAATGTTTGGGGGCTGTGGCCAATCTCCTTGCTGTGGCTGTTCTCCCACCAGCTGCTGATCTCCTGGCTTCTGTACCACCCCAAGGCATTGCAAGGCCTCTATTAGCTGTGACAAGTTCAGAGGACATGGATCAGCCACCTGCTGGGGAACCCAATCTCCCAATTGCTGCAGAGGACTCAGACTGGGATTCTCACTCTCTTCAGGGCTGGAGTCCCTCGCAGGAATATCTGCAATGTAAGGGCTGTAGGCTTCTCTCTGTAGGAATTGATTTCTGGGTTTCATGTCTGAGTCTTGAAATCATTCCAATGACTCACCCATAACTTTGGTATCTGTCTGTTCTGCTTTTGAAGTCTTTGCTCTCAGCTGGGAAACCTGCCAGATTCCTCTCTCCCCCGGCTTGCCGGCTGATGCTCCCTCCCCCCAGGGAAACTGTTGCAGCCAGGGGGCTAGCCTCAGGCAATCTTTCTTTCTCCATAATGAGATCTCCCCGAATCTTTACCAGCTCCCCTCAAGCATAGAGGAAATGGATGGGGCCCGGGACCCCAGGTCGTTTGAAAAGGATTGAGATCTTAGCATGTTGTTATGGTTCCGGCTAATGAAACACTTCAAAGAACTTCCAGGCATTGGTTTCCCTAAAAGTCTTTTATTGCTTCAAAATGTTGGCAGAGGCATACAAAGTTTTATGCTAAGATCTGAGTTCTCTTCCTCTGAGCAGTTAAATTATCAGCATGTTCCCTCCCTAAATTAGCTGTCATATATCACATTATCCAATTAGTGTGAAGGTCAAAGGTTTCCTTCCTCTTTCTTTCCCCCTGGCTTTGCCCCCACCCTCTTCTGCTCTGTATTAACCTCAAAAATACCAGACAGTTCTGCATATTGTCAAAGCAAGAATATACAATATTTGCAGCACTGACACCCAATGAGCGAGCGCACATGGCTGTCTCACTGCCTCCAGGCGAACCAGTCATCCCCAATGAATACTGGGAGCTGGCGGAGGCATTTAGTGAAAAACAATATGATGCCCTACCCCCTCACAGACCCAATGACTGCTCCATCGAACTGGTGCCAGGAGCCAAACTCCCATGACCGAGAATGTATGCCATGTCCCCCTTGAAATGGAGGAGATGCAGCGATATGTGAACAAAAACCTAGCGAGGGGGTTTATTGAACGGGCCAAATCTATTGTGGGAGCCCCTGTGTTGTTCAAAGAGAAAAAAGATGGGTCTCTTCGTCTCTTCATAGACTATAAGGGTTTCAACGCTGTGAGTGTGGAAAATAAATACCCCCTCCCCCTCCTAAAGGATTTATTGACCCATCTGGCTAAGGGGAGTGTCTTCACTAAATTAGTCCTAAGAGAGGCATATTATCAGATGAGAATAAAAGAGGGAGACGAGTGGAAAACTGCCTTCAACTGTTCTATGGGGAGCTATTAGTTTAAAGTCATGCCATTTGGACTACAGGGGGCCCCAGCCGTATTTATGCAGTTGATTAATGAAGTCCTATATGATCACGTGTACAAAGGGGTTTTGGTGTATCTTGATGATATTCTGATATACAGCCAGATATTACATATTTTATTCCTGTTCTTTTCGTTTTTCCTACCTAAAAATACCCATTGTTTCCCTTATCAACAATAAAAACTTTTCAACTGCACATTTTTTTTCTCATGTTAGGTAGCAAAACAGAGAGGTTTGTCTCTCTTCTGAGTGACAGTATGGCCAAATGGCAGCCGCTTCCACAAGTCCACCGCATGGCCCAGGGAGGAAGCCAGGCCCCACTGAAAATAACGGCTGCTACCAGACACAGTCCCAAGGGCCAGGGATGCACACCCTCCCCTCCTTCCCCAACGTGAGAATCTGAAATCTTAGAAAGAGAGAGGAGGGTGTCAGGCGTGCAGGGACCCAGTGAGAGGGAGAAAAAGCCCGTGGAGACCCTGGGGTGGGAAAGAACTGGGCAGCACAAGGGTTGGGAAACAGAGCACAGGGTGGGGGAGGCCTAGAGATGCCTACAACAGGCAAACCTGGGCCTGCACTAGGCCTCCAAGAGATTTCCCAACCCTGAGGTAGACAGTGTTCCACTTAGTGACTGACACATTCAATTAATGGCTGCATCAGAGAGATCAGGGTAGTCTCACTTAATGGCCGTTGCAACATGCAACCATAATTGCAAGGTCCATGACAGGACCTTTTCTATGCTAGCTGAGGAATTCTGGGGCTCAAAATATGGAGGAAACCAAGGTAGAAGGCCTGAAACACCACATGTGGGACTTATATAATCAATATACAAAACTATCACCCAGAAGCCTTTCTGAGATCCACAACTTCTACAAAAGGAAATATCCACTAGCTGCTGCTACTAACCAGAATTTGGCAGTTAGCCCTCTTCCATTTTCCTTTTCTCTCCACCTACAAGTCTAATCCTGAGAGATGTTTGAGTAAAAAGATTCAGACAACAATTCAAATAGTCAATTTCTCAACTACAGTTTCAATGGCAGATCACAAATGAATTTCAAGCCTTTTCTAAATTCTTCAACTTTTGCCTCATATGGATTTCCTTGTATGCAATAAGGGATGATTTATGAGTGAAGTAACGTGCAAAGAGTAGACATTTTAAAGATTTATTCCCTATGTGAATCCTCTGGTGTGTCACCAGGTGGGAATTCTGACTAAAACGTCTCCCACAAGCACGACATTCAAAGGGTTTCTCTCCTGTGTGAGTCCTCTAATGCAGTGGTTCTCAATCTGTGGGTCGGGACCCCATTTGGGGTCGAACGACCATTTCACGGGGGTCACCAAACAACGCAGTCCGCCATTTTTTTCCCCTTTTCCTTAGCTGGGCTACTCCCTTTTATTCTATTGGCTTTTGAAAGCCAATAGAACAGACTCTCTTGAATAGAGTCTAATTCTATTGGCTTTCAAAAGCCAATAGGAATTGTTCAGGCTGTCTCTGCCCTGCTGAGCCCACCAAAAGTCCCATTCTGCAAACGGTGCTGGACCAGTTGAGTAGTCCTCGACTTACGACCGGTTGAGTAGTCCTCGACTTACAACCGGTTGGGGGTCGTGGCATTAAAAAGGTTGAGAACCACTGCTCTAATGTTTCACAAGGCTGGAATTCTGACTGAAACTGTTCCCACAATCAGGACATTCAAATGGTTTCTCTCCTGTGTGAATCCTCTTGTGTCTCACCAGGTTGGAATTCTGATTGAAACTTTCCCTACAATCAGGACATTCAAAGGGTTTCTCTCCTGTGTGAGTACTCTGGTGGTTCACAAGGCTGGAATTCTGACTGACACTTTTCCCACAACAGGACATTCAAAAGGTTTTTCTCCTGTGTGTCCTCTGGTGTACCACAATGCTGGAATTCTCACTGAAACTTTTCCCACAATCAGGAGATTCAAAGGGTTTCTCTCCTGTGTGAGTCCTGTGGTGGGACACCAGTCTGGAATTGTGACTGAAACTTTTCCCACAATAAATACATTCAAAGGGTTTCTCTCCTGTGTGAGTCCTCTGGTGTATCATCAGGCTGGAATTGCGACTGAAACTTTTCCCACAATAAATACATTCAAAGGGTTTCTCTCCTGTATGAGTCCTCTGGTGTACCACAATGCTGGAATCCTCACTGAAACGTTTCCCACAATCAAGACATTCAAACGGTTTCTTTCCTGTGTGAGTCCTCTGGTGTGTCACCAGGTAGGAATAACAACTGAAACTTTTTCCACAATCAGGACATTCAAAGGGTTTCTCTCCTGTGTGAATCGTCTGGTGTATTACAAGGCTGGAATTCTGACTGAAACTTTTCCCACAATCAGGACATTCAAACGGTTTCTCTCCTGTGTGAGTCCTCTGGTGGGTCACCAAGTGGGAATTGTGACTGAAACTTTTCCTACAATCAGGACATTCAAAGGGTTTCTCTCCTGTGTGAGTCCTCTGGTGGTTCACAAGGCTGGAATTCTGACTGAAACTTTTCCCACAAACAGGACATTCAAAGGGTTTCTCTCCTGTGTGATTCCTCTTGTGTATCACCAGGCTAGAATTGCGACTGAAACTTTTTCCACAATCAAGACATTCAAAGGGTTTCTCTCCTGTGTGAGTCCTCTGGTGTATCACCAGGCTGGAATTGCGACTGAAACTTTTCCCACAATAAATACATTGAAAGGGTTTGTCTCCTGTGTGAGTCCTCTGGTGCATCACTAGGTGGGAATTGCAAAAGAAACTTTTCCCACAATCAGGACATTCAAAAGGTTTCTCTCCTGTGTGAGTCCTCTGGTGTCTCACTAGGTGGGAATTCCAACTGAAACCTTTCCCACAATCAGGACATTCAAAGGGTTTCTCTCCTGTGTGAGTCCTCTGGTGTATCACCAGGGTGGAATTGCGACTGAAACTTTTCCCACAATAAATACATTCAAAGGGTTTCTCTCCTGTGTGAGTCCTCTGGTGGATCACAAGCTTGGAATTCTCACTGAAACGTTTCCCACAATCAAGACATTCAAACGGTTTCTTTCCTGTGTGAGTCCTCTGGTGTGTCACCAGGTAGGAATAACAACTGAAACTTTTTCCACAATCAGGACATTCAAAGAGTTTCTCTCCTGTGTGAATCGTCTGGTGTATTACAAGGCTGGAACTCTGACTGAAACTTTTCCCACAATCAGGACATTCAAACGGTTTCTCTCCTGTGTGAGTCCTCTGGTGAGTCACCAAGTGGGAATTGTGACTGAAACTTTTCCTACAATCAGGACATTCAAAGGGTTTCTCTCCTGTGTGAGTCCTCTGGTGGTTCACAAGGCTGGAATGCTGACTGAAACCTTTCCCACAAACAGGACATTCAAAGGGTTTCTCTCCTGTGTGAGTCCTCTGGTGGTTCACAAGGCTGGAATTCTGACTGAAACTTTTCCCACAAACAGGACATTCAAAGGGTTTCTCTCCTCTGTGTGTACTCTGGTGATTCACCAGAGAAGAATCACGACTGAAACTTTTCCCACAATCAGGACATTCAAAGGGTTTCTCTCCTGTGTGATTCCTCTTGTGTATCACCAGGCTAGAATTGCAACTGAAACTTTTTCCACAATCAAGACATTCAAAGGGTTTCTCTCCTGTGTGAGTCCTCTGGTGTATCACCAGGCTGGAATTGCGACTGAAACTTTTCCCACAATAAATACATTGAAAGGGTTTGTCTCCTGTGTGAGTCCTCTGGTGCATCACTAGGTGGGAATTGCAACAGAAACTTTTCCCACAATCAGGACATTCAAAAGGTTTCTCTCCTGTGTGAGTCCTCTGGTGTCTCACTAGGTGGGAATTCCAACTGAAACCTTTCCCACAATCAGGACATTCAAAGGGTTTCTCTCCTGTGTGAGTCCTCTGGTGTATCACCAGGGTGGAATTGCGACTGAAACTTTTCCCACAATAAATACATTCAAAGGGTTTCTCTCCTGTGTGAGTCCTCTGGTGGATCACAAGCTTGGAATTCTCACTGAAACGTTTCCCACAATCAGGACATTCATAGGGTTTCTCTCCTGTGTGAGTCCTCTGGTGTCTCACCAGATGGGAATTTCTATTGAAACTTTTCCCACAATGAGGACATTCAAAGTGTTTCTCTTCTGTGTATGACCTATGGTGCCTCATGACATGGGAATTTCTAATGAAACTTTCACACAATCAGTACAGTCATACGTTTTCTCTCTGCTATGAATCCTCTGATGTATCACCACGTTGCCATGCTCACTAAAGCATTTACTGCACTAGGAGTGCTTTTATGGCTTTTCTCTTGTGTAGCTCTTTCCATGAACCACAAGGGAGCTGTTCTGACTAAAGCTTTTGCCAAAATCAGATGATTTGTATGGTTTTTATCCTGTGTGGCTCCTCTTGTGCATAATCAGTTGTGATTTGCAATCTATGCTTTTCTAACAATAGACACAACTATGGAGCTTTTCCACAGCTGATATTCTTGAGAAAGTCAAAAGTATGGATAATCCCTTGTTTAGTGGTATTTTCATTCAAGTCGTTCTCTTCCTCACAGTGCGAGGCCTGTACGACTCTGCTCTACTCACCTTTTCCTCCAACTGACTTCCAGATATTTCATTCTTTTAATGAATGAAAAATAATCTCCCTTCTCTTTTCATGTAAAGTATCCTTGAGTTCTGAAAAATCTACTTATTCCAGTTTGAAATCTTTCTTGATTTTCTCTCTTTTTTTCTAAGAGCTGCTGGAGGAGGACAATTGTGTGGTTTTCTGAAGGAAATGGAAAATATTTTGATTTCTGGCTCGGTTTGCTTTCCTTTTCAGTGTTGCATGTTATTCTTAGCTGTCCAGAGTGATCTTCTTGCCATCCTCTTTTCTATAAGATTTAAAGAAAAGTGCAACTTTAATTTTTATAAAATGGTGAGAGGTGTGAAAAAAGAAAAAAAGTATACATTACAATGAAAACGCAAACGTGCCACAATGATAGAATAATCTCTTACATTATTTATGATTCATCTGATACATGGAATACTACCAACATCTATGTTCAAATATCCATTCAATCAAATTCAGGTTGGGTAAAATTTGGGTAAAATTTCTTGTTGACTTCGGTCAATCATAAATGCTTAGGAACACAAAAGGTTATCATCAAATACATCTGGAAGTGATGGGGATAGATTATATATTTCCAGATATATGCATAAAGAGAGAAATACAGATACACACCTACAAATGTGTATATGGAGAAAATCTATGTCTTTCAATCCTGGAAATATGTCCCAAAATAGTTTACAGTCAAAGCTTTTGAGCTAATTTTAGAGATGTGGCGGCTTTAACTGATGGATAACAGAATAACAGACTTGGAAGGGACCTTGAAGGAAGAAGGAAGAATTTTAATGGTGGAAATGACGATAAATCAAAAAAAGATGTTGATAATAGCAATATATGCACCAAATAATAAACAAGAAATATTTTATCAAAAACTACACAGGAAAATATTGGAAATGGAATATCAAAATATTTGTTTAGTAGGAGGCTTTAACACAATTGTGAATGAAAAATTAGATTACAAAAGTAGTAAAGTAGGAAAAAAAGGAAGAAAGATTACCTAAAGTGTTTGTTAAAATGGCAGAAGAAATCTGCGTACAGAATGTCTGGAAAGAAATGAACCCCAAAATAGACACAAATCATGGTCTAGAATTGATATGATATGGATGTCCCCTAAATTGTTGTTGTTGTTAGTTGCGAAGTCGTGTCTGATTCATCGCGACCCCACGGACAATGTTCCTCCAGACCTTCCTGTCCTCTACCATCTTCTCTAGTCTATTTAAGCTCATGCTTACTGCTTCAGTGACTCCATCCAGCTATCTCATTCTCTGTCATCCTCTTCTTCTATTGTCCTCAATCTTTCCCAGCATTAGGCTCTTCTCCAGTGAGTCCTTTCTTCTCATTAGATGGCCAAAGTACTGGAGTTTTAACTTCAGGATCTGGCCTTCTAAAAAACAATCAGAGTTGATCTCCTCTAGGACTGACCGGTTTGATCGCTTTGCAGTCCAGGGGATTCACAGGAATCTTCTCCAGCACCGTAGTTCTAAGGCCTTAATTCTTTTGTGCTCAGCCTTTCTTATAGTCCAACTTTCATTGCAACTGGGAAAACCATGGCTTTGATTATACGTACTTTTGTTGGTAGGGTGATGTTTCTGATTTTTAGTATGCTGTCTAGATTTGCCATAGCTTTCCTCCCGAGGAGCAAGCGTCTTTTCATTTCTTGGCTGCAGTCCCCATCTGTGGTGATCTTTGAGCCCAGAAAAATAAAATCTGTCACTACCTCCATTTCTTCCCCATCTATTTGCCAAGAATTGAGAGGGCCGGACGCCATGATCTTGGTTTTCTTGATGTTGAGTTTCAAGCCAACTTTTGCATTCTCCTTTTTCACCCGCATCAAGAGGCTCTTTAGTTCCTCTTCACTTTGTGCCATTAGACTGGTATCATCTGCATATCTTAGGTTGTTGATATTTCTCCCGGCAATCTTAATTCCAACCTTTGATTCATCTAGCCCTGCCTTTCTCATGATGTGCTCTGCATATAAGATAAGTAGGCAGGGCGACAGAATACAGCCTTGCCAGACTCCTTTCCCAATTTTGAACCAATTCGTGGTTCCGTCTCCAGTTCTCACTGTTGCTTCTTGACCCGCATATAGGTTTCTCAAAAGACAAATAAGATGGTCTGGTACTCCCCTCTCTTTAAGAACTTGCCACAATTTGTTGTGATCCACACAACCAAAGGCTTTAGCCTAGTCCAGCGGTTCTCAACCTATGGGTCGCGACCCCATTTGGGGTCGATCGACCTCTTTTCGGGGGTCGCCAAAGGTGGCGATCCGCCATTTTGTCCCCTCCGGGGGTGCGCTGCGCCTCCGGGGGGGGGTGCCGCGCACGCGCGCCGCACGTGGTGGTGGCGGCGTGCCTCCGGGGGGCGCCGCCGCGCATGCGCACCGCGCATGGGGGCGGCACTGCGCCTCTGGGGGTGGTGCCGCGCATGCGCACCGCGCACGGGGCCCCGCCCCCATGCGCACCGTGCCACGTATGCGCATAACGTTTGTGTGACGGGGGTCGCCGTCACACAAACGTTGAGAATCGCTGGCCTAGTCAATGAAGTAGAAGTAGTTTTCTGGAATTCCCTAGCTTTCTCCATGATCCAGCGTATGTTGCCAATTTGATCTCTAGTTCCTCTGCCTCTTTGAAATCCTGCCTGTACGTCTGGAAGTTCTCGATCCACATACTGGAGTCTAGCTTGTAGGATTTTAAGCATAACTTTACTTGCATGTGAAATGAGTGCAATGGTGCGATAGTTTGAACATTCTTTGGCATGGCCTTTCTTTGGAATTGGAATGTAAACTGACCTTTTCCAATCCTGTGGCCACTGTTGTTTTCCAAATTTGCTGGCAAATTGAGTGTAGCGCTTTTATTGCATCGTCTTTTAAAATTTTGAATAGCTCAGCTGGAATACTGTCACCTCCACTAGCTTTGTTGTTGCTCAACTTTCCTAAGGCCCATTTAACTTCACATTCTGTATGGCTTGAGGTCAGTGACCACCCCATTGTGGTTATCAGGGACGCTAAGCTTGTACTTGTATAGTTCTCTTCTTAATCTCTTAATCTCTTCTGCCTGTTAGGTCCCTGCCATTTTGGTCCTTTATCATGCCCTTCTTTGCATGAAACATTCCCTTCATATCTCCAATTTTCTTGAAAAGATCTCTGGTTCTTCCTACTGTTCTCTTCTATTTCTTTGCACTGTTCATTTAAGAGGGCATTCTTATTTCTTCTATCTATTCTCTGGAATTCTGCATTCAGTTGGGTGTATCTTTCTCTTTCTCCCTTGGCTTTCACTTCCCTTCTTTCCTCAGCTATTTGCAAAGCTTCCTCAGCCATTTTGCTTTCTTGCATTTCTTTTTCTTTGGGATGGTTTTAGTTGCTACCTCTTGTACAATCTTGCGAACCTCCGTCCATAGTTCTTCAGGCACTCTATCAAATCTAATTCCTTAAATCTATTTGTCACCTCTACTGTATTATATATACTACTGTATATTAATCAGGGATATGATTTACCGTATATGCCGGGGTACAAGGCGACCCGGCGTATAAGATGACCCCCGTCTTTGTTGCCGAGTCGCATTCCTAGAACATCGTCTTATACACCAGAAACTACCAGTATTTCCGGCGTATAAGACGACCGTCTTTGGCGCCGATTTTAACGCTTGTGGAAGTTGCCTTGTACGCCGGCATATACGGTAGTTCATATCTGAGTGGCCTAGTGTTTTTCCCTACTTTCTTCAATTTAAGCCTAAATTTTGCAATGAGAAGCTCATGATCTGACCCACAGTCAGCTCCTGGTCTTGTTTTTACTGATTGTATAGAGCTTCTCTATCTTTGGCTGCGGAGCACATAGTCAATCTGATTTCTGTGTTGACCGTCTGGTGATGTCCATGTGTAGAGATGTCTCTTGGGTTGTTGGAAAAGAGTATATGCTATGACCATCGTATTCTCTTAGTAAAATTCTATCAGCCTGTGCCCTGCTTCATTTTGTACTCCAAGGCCAAACTTGCCTGTTATTCTGTTTATCGTTTGGCTTCCTACTTTAGCATTTCAATCCCCCATGATGATAAGGACATCATTTTTTGGTGTTGATTCTATAAGGTGCTGTATGGCTTCATAGAACCGGTCAATTTCATCCTCTTCAGCAGTAGTAGTTGTTCGTCAATTCCTAAGATGTCGATCTTCAGTTTTGTCATCTCTTGTTTGACCATATCCAGTTTGCCTTGATTCATGGATCTTACATTCCAGGTTCCTGTGGAGAAAAGATCTTTAGAGCATCAGACTTTCCTTTCACCACCAGATGCATCCACAGCTGAGCGTCCTTTCAGCTTTGGCCCAGTCACTTCACTCTTTCTGGCGCTACTAGTACTAGCCCTCTGCTCTTCCCCAGTAGGATATTGGACACCTTCCGACCTGAGGGGCTCATCTTTCAGCATCATATCTTTTTGCTTTTTGATACTGTCTGTGGGGTTTTCACGGCAAAGATACTGGAGTAGGTTGCCATTTCCTTCCCCAGTGGATCACATTTTGTGAGAACTCTCTGCTATGGCCTGTCTGTCTTGGGTGGCCCTGCTCAGCATAGCTCATAGCTTCATTGAATTGAGCAAGCCCCTTCACCACAACAAGGCAGTAATCCATGAAAGGGGCCCCCTAAATTAAGAACTAATATACATGACGTTGAGATAGAACCCAATATTTGGGCTGACCATTATCTGATAAAGCTGAGTTGAACAAGAGTAAAGAAGAAATAAAGGTGGACATGGAATCAACTCTTATTAAAGGAGAAAGAATTTCAGAAAGAGCAGTAAAGGAAATGGAGTTCTTTTTCAAAGAAAATAAAAAAGAAGACACTTCACTCCAGTACAAATGGGATACAGCCAAAGCATACTTCAGAGGATTAGCTATAACTTATACGGCTGAAAAGAATAAAGAGAAAAAGCCACATCGTACAACGTTAAGGGAAGAGTTTAAAAAATTGGAGCTAGAACTTC